GCAGAGGAATACAAAGCAGCGTGCAGGTTCTGACAAGGGAGAGATCTGTATTGTTTACATACAGACCTCTCCCTGTCAGTGTTCCTCGGTGATCGCCGGGTGCTGGCGGGGAATCTCCGGCCCGGACCCAGCGATTGACAGCTGAAGCTGCCAATGGCGGCGCGGGTAGGGTGTGTGCACCCCCTACTCAGAAATACAAAATCACATATATATATATATATATATATATATATGTGCGATTTTGCGCAGCCCTGCCGCCCTTTAGCAGTAGTTCAGCTATAGGGCGGTTGGGAAGTGGTTAATAAACAATCTATCTTCTCAGGCCCAGGCAATGCATCCTGAAGTTAGGAAGAACATCATATGTTTATCCATATTCGGAAGTACAGGGTATTTCCCAGGGTTCCAACCTGACTAAAATGTGGGTGCACAGCAGGGGTGGTAGATGCTCTTTACACGAAAGTCTGAAGCTTTAAATGCAACTACAACTTAAATCCACCAGCAACTCACATAATAGTGCATTGTACAAAGCATTTGTTTGTAAATGACTAACATGCTGGTATTTGTTGCAGCTGTGGTGTTTTTCCAGAAAAAAAGTATTTCAGTATTCAGAAGACAATGGGGCCCATGAGGTCTCAGGTGAGTGGTGTTTTAAGAGTGATACATACTGACCGAATACTTTCAAGGCTGAAGTTTAAGTAGGGCTTAAATACATTGGTCCAGCTTGGACCAATATAATTATGTTTGTGCCATACTTGGCTGATCCCTGTGGAAGCTGGAAATCACTGTTGGGGGGACCTCTACTACAGCGATCCCCACTAGCTTCTGGGTCCCATGCTGAGTGGCTGTCCTGCTGCTCCTGACACAGGAGGTCGCTGCGCCTACTACATGGATTTCCAGCTTCCACAGTGATCAGCAATGTATGACAAATGAATATCTACACTGGTCCAAGCTGAAAAAAGCCATACCTAAAAATCAGCTTTAAGCACTTGTCTAAGGAGTAAAGGCATACAAGCTGGGGGGGCTGGGGAGGAAACCTATCCCTCCATGCCAGATTTTGTGGGCTGGTATCATGCTGAAAGGAATTCAGATGCACTAAGAAGAATATGTAAATATAAGAGAAGGAAAGATTGAATTTTGGATTGGATCATGGGAGCAGATCAGGCAAAATAACTGGTGAGGTGGAATTTTGATTATTTACACATCTCTAGTAATAACTAGTCTTAACCTACATTATCATCAAACTTGTATAGGCCAGGGTACTAGAAAGTGCTACAACACTACCATCTAGTGGTCAATATGTGCATAACATTTGTAATTCTTGTTTCTCATATTTATTATGAATTACATTTGCAAAGACATTAGACTTCATTATTAATATGTGACCTCTGCAGCACTGAATCACGCAGTGCTTTTTTTTATCCTACTTACTGAACAAGATAAGCATTTCTAATGAATATGTGTATAAACCAAGAACAGGAGTGTGTTGTATGGGTTGCAGACTATAGATAAAATCTTATCAGAAAGAAGAGCTGATAAGTAGAGTAATTGTCTGCTTCCTTACTATGTTATCTGAACTCAAATTAGCTCATATATGATGTAGAATGAATATGTACTATTGTGTAAGCCATGGAAAACAAAGGATTTAATGCCAGCATTTATTAGCATTAAATGAGTTCTACAAAGACAGCTTCTGCACCCAGTATACCAAGGCAACATGACTAGAAATAATTTACCAGAGCATGTTGTATTATAGATCTTTGATAAAAAAAAAAACTTTGGACTTCATAATTTTAGTAATAACTTTCTATTTAATAATGTATCTTACATCAAACTGTATACAGCTTTGCTTTTAATATAAAAAATGCAGCAAAAAGATATGTACAGCATATAACAGATGTTTCAGCGGTTGCTGGCTAGTGAAGAGTGCTTAAGAGCAGCAGGGCAATTAGGAATATAATACAGTACTCTTGTCTTACAGTACAAGTGCAATCGCCTAAGGCGTCACAAGTGGCCAGTGAATGGATATGGTGTATATAATGATATACTTATTGATAATGTACAGATAGTTATGGCAATAATAATAAAAAACAGATTGTATACTAAGAATGAAAATGTGTCATTGTTTGTTTTTTAAACAACTATCACCAATGCAGGTACAAAAGCCTGTGTGTATCTATCAAGGTAACCCATCTAATAAAGGAAGGGGGAAGTCTAGTGCACCTCACAATATCAGCAGGGTTTCCAGTACAAATGAGAAACTGCAAGATCAGTGGTCTCCAAACTGCAGCCCATTGGTTGCCTTTATCTAGCCCTTGGGACACTATTCCCCCCACTGACACCAACGATGGGTGAACTACATCTCCCACTGACTCCAACAATGGGGAACTATTTCTTCCACTGACATCAATGATGGGGAACTATTCCTCCCACTGACATCAACGATGGGGAACTATTCATCCAACTGACACCAACAATGGGGCACTATTATTATTATTATTATACAGTATTTATATAGAGCCAAAAGATTTGCTCAGTGCTGTACATTGTAGTGGGGGACAGAACATGGGACAATACAGTAACAAAACAATACACGAGGGTTCGAGGGCCCTGCTCTTTCGAGCTTACAATCTAGGGCACTATAACTTTTGCTGACACCAAATGATGGGGAACTATTCCTTCCACTGACATCAATGATGGGGCACTATTCCTCTCACTGACACCAACAATAGGACGCTATTCCTCTCACTGACACCAACAATGGGGCACCATTCTTCCCACTGACAACAATGATGGGGCACTATTACTCCCACTGATACCAACAATGGGGTACTATTCCTCTCACTGACACCAACAATGGGAAACTATTTTTCCCACTGACACCAACATTAGGGGCACTATTCCTTCCACTGACAACAAAGGTGAGGCACTATCCCTCCCGCTAACACCAATGATCAGGGCGGTATTCCTTCCACTAATACCACTGGTGGAGCACTATTCCTCCTCCCACTGACCACAGGGGTGTAATTTTTTCTATCCTCACTGACCACCAAGCCTGAGGTGTTATTGACACCAATGACCACAGTCCAGCCCCCCCCTAAAGTCTGAATACAGTAAACTGACCCTTTGTTCAAAAAGTTTGGATACTTCTGTTTCAGATGATTATAATCTCTCACCATCCTTTCTCACAGTGTACATAAAGGTAATGTTTTTTTTTTATACAATAGGTAAGGGTTAGATCCTCTGCCAAGTTTTTTATTGCTGTCTGTGACTCGGGGGGAGCGGGGGGAGCTGCAGCAGTAACATGCTATACCCCGAATACAGGTGTAACATATTATATAAGGTGAATATACTGTCCTACTAACGGTTAGCTGACAGCTAGCTAACAAAACTGACAGAGGCAGCGTTGTGTTTCATTCCAAAACTGAATTTACTTCTGTGAATAGTTCTGGAAAAACGCAATACAATCACATAAACTGAGGTTACAATATGCTTTTTATACATGTCTCTTCCAAATGCATACATGAACACATTTCCTTTGCAGACAGCCACCTTATATCCACATCAAATGCCTAACAGTACAATCTAGATATACAGTACCATAGCTTTGACAAACAGTGAATAGACTTACAAGCATATGTGTATCAAAGGGAGAAAGAAGGAGAGCTTCTCTAGTGTGTTCTTCTGGAAGCTGAAATGGCACTGTGGTGACTTAAAGAAAATTATTATTAACAAAGTATGAAACATTTCCTGTTCTTCTTTGAGTGGAATAATAAAAAAGTGTCATTGCAGTGAACACCCAATAGCTGGCTCCTCACTCGAAAACAATAATGTGACATACAGAACACTGAACTTATCCTTTAAGGGAAATCTCCCCAACAGGACACAGACAGCAAAAATGACAGGGGTTTAACTTTTCAACATACTTCCCAACATTTGAACTTGACAAGAGAGACAATTTTTATAGGGGCAGAATGTAGCACGCATGATGCACCGCAGTGCAAGTGGACAGGGCCAGGTGTGGTTTACGGATATTCCTACAGCAGCTTTCATAATTTTGCATATGAATGAGTTGGAAAAATTAATATTCATATCCTGCTGATATTTGCATATAAATGAGCTGTGGACACAATGGGAGTAGGGATAAAATGTAGGATAATCTGGGACTGTTGGGAAGTATCCTTCCTTACTCTATCCAAAACTTACACACACACACACCCAACTCATAACAACAGGAAATGCATTGTTATCTGTGGTACCATCTGTTGTGTAAATTCAGTATATAATGGTCTGCACCTAGCAGGGCTAGACTATTTTGCGCCCTAGGCAAGACCAGCCCCACAAAATAATAAAACATTTTAAAAACAGTCGAAAATATTAAATCAACAAAACATAAAACTGCTAAATTTATTTTAATTTGCAAAAATAGGTGCCATAAAGATGCCACTAGCACCAATAATAACCACTAGCCTACCGGGCACTTATACCCCCTTCCTGCCCAGGCCAATTTCCAGCTTTCAACGCTGTCACACTTTGAAAGACAATTGGGCGGTCATGCAACATTGTACCCATATAAAATTTTTATCATTTTTTTGTGACAGATAGGGCTTTATTTTGGTGGTATTTAATCACCTCTGGGTTTTTTTATTTTTTCTTAAACAAACCAAAGACCACTGAAAATTTTGAAAAAAAAAAAACATTTTTTTTTTAGTTTTTGTTATAAAATTTTGTAAATAGGTGATTTTTCTCCTTCACTGAGTGCGCTAATGAGGCTGCAGTGATGGGCACTGATAGGCTGCACTGATGGACACTGATAGGTGGCACTGATGGGCACTGATGAGGAGGCACTGGTAGGTGGCACTAATGGTCATTGACAGGCATCACTGATGGGCACTGAAAGGCAGCACTCATATATGGCACTGATAAGCGGCACTGATAGGTGGCACTGATAGGCGGCACTGACTGGCACTGATAGACAGCACTGACAGGCACTGATAGGTGGCACTGATGCACACTGATAGGCGGCACTGACTGGCACTGATAGGCAGCACTGACTGGCACTGATAGGTGGCACTGATTGGCATTGATAGGTGGTACTGACTGGCACTGATGGGTGACACTGAAAGGCAGCTCAGATGGGCACTGATATGTGGCATTGATATGCACTGGTAGGCACTGATATGTGGCATTGATGTGGCACTGATGGGTACTGGCAGGTGGCATGGATGAGCACTGACAGCTGGCACTGATGGGCTACACTGATCATCAGGGCACATTGATCATCAGTGCCCTGATGATCAGTGTACATGTCCCCCTCCGAGGAATGCCAATTACCTGCTTTCCTCTCCTCATGAGCTGTCAGCGTGACAGCTTGTGAGGAGAGAAATGCCAATAACCAGCATTTCCCTATTTACATGCGATCAGCTGTGATTGGACACAGCTGATCACATGACCGAGCCGACATCTTCGACTCCTTCTGTTGATCAGTGATCCGCTGTAAGGGACCGCCCGGCGGTACCACTAGCACTCCACTGATCGGATGTTCCCAGCGCACGGAGTCTAAGCCCCAGAGTACTTGTTCACCAGGGCCCTGATGGTGGGGATGGACTTGGAGTACCCCAGGACCAGGTCGTGACTACTGAGGACACCCGTCAGTGGTAGGGGTATTCGCCAGGGGCTCCCACGGGAGAGAGCCAGGTATGAGGAGGTCTGGAGACCCCGTAGAGAGGGACGGATGGATGGATGGATGGCTGAGGAGGAGCAGGGTCATACAAGCCGGGTCGGTAACTATGGGGACGGTGCGGTACAGAGCAGCGGGCAGAGAATAGTCGGGGTCACACGCCAGGTCAGCAACAGCAGGTCAGATCCAATAGGGGGCATTCAGGAGAGAGGTCAGGCAAGCAAGGGTCAAGAACAGGAGAAAACAGCAAGGTCAGGGCACAATCCGGGTCAGCAACTTACTTCAAACAGGTTCACAGGTTCACAGGATACAAGAGACCAAAAGGCACTGAATGACAGCTCAGGGCCGTTTAAATATCCCGCCCTGCGCTGTCATTGGTGCCAGGTCGCGCGCGCCGCGGTCACCACTGCGCATGCGCGAACCTGATTGCCGCGGTCGGGCCAAGTCCGCGCGCTCGCGTACAGGGAGGTGTACTGCGCCTGCGCCGAGCCCAGCGGCGCGACGATCATCTGACATTGCCCCCCCCCTACGGGCAACCTCTCCGGATGCCCACCCGATCTCTCCACCACGGGTGATCACGAAGAAACTCCCGGACTAGTCTAGGTGCGTGGACATTATGAGCCGGTTCCCAGGAATTGTCCTCAGGACCATAGCCCTTCCACTTAATTAGGAATTGGGTCTGGCCCCCCCTTCTTCGGCACTTAAGGATCGTTTCCACCTCAAATTCCTCTTGTCCTTCGACCGTTATGGCCTCTGGGGGTCTGGATTCTCGTTCTGGGAAGGCATCTGGGATCACTGGCTTCAGCAGGGATACATGGAAGACTGGATGAATTCTGAACGTGTCCAGAAGGATCAGCTCATATGCCACTTCGTTGACCATCCGCTTTACCTGAAAAGGCCCCACAAATTTAGGTCCCAATTTTTTCGAGGGACAAAGCATCTTTAAGTTGGTCGTGGCCAACCACACCTTCCTGCCCAGGCCGCAACGCCAAATCCCCTCTTCGTTTCTTGTTAAACTCCTTCTTATTGCCTCACTTGGGCCCGAGCGATGGCTTCCTGGAGTAATTTGTTATTGACGGAGAAGAAGGTCAACGCATCCTGCGTTGCTGGAACTGGGCATTCAGAGACCAAATCAGGGAGAAAGACAGGGTGAAACCCCATAATTCGAAAAGAATGGGGACTGCCCCGTTGCCGAATGGCTTGCGTTGTTATAAGCGAACTCCGCCAGGGGTAAAAGAGACAGCCAATCATCCTGCAGGAAAGACGTGTAGCAACGCAAGTATTGCTCCAGGGTCTGGTTCGTCCTCTCTCGGTCTGACCGTTGGTCTGAGGGTGGAACGCGGAGGAGAGGGACAACTTGATGTCCAGGGCCTTGCACAGAGCCCTCCAAAACTTAGATGTAAACTGGACCCCTCGATCAGAGACGATGTCCTCTGGTACTCCATGAAGTCTAACGATAAATTCCCGGATAAATATTTCGCGCCGTCTCGGTTGCTGACGGAGTCTTCCTCAGTGGCACGAAGTGAGCCATCTTGGATAGGCGATCAATGACCACCAGAATTGCTGTGTGGGTCTTGTGACGGTGGGAGCTCGACTATGAAGTCCATCGCGATCTTCTGCCAAGGCCGTTCGGGAATCGGCAAAGGTCGCAACAGCCCCCAGGCTTTGCTCCTTGACGGTTTGCTCTCTTCTGGCAGATGGTACAGGATCTCACGTAGCGCTTGCAATCCTTAGCCATGTTTGGCCACCAAAACGAGCGCCGGAGAAGCTCCAGAGTCTTGACTGGGCCAAAGTGACCTGCCAGCGGGTGTGATCGTGGCAATGCCCCAAAACCAGGGGTCCGGACTTCCTCAGGTACCACGATAGAATCCTCCTTCCACAGGAGTCCCCCTTTGTTCTGGAGGGATACCCCAACTGGGGTTGGTGTGGCCGTAGATGCTTCTATTAACTTGGAGCGAAGGTCCGTCTGGAGCGCCAAGAAGTTCCCTGAGGACAAGATAGTGTCGGGTACCAGTTCTTCTTCGGAGTCCTCAAACATACGAGATAGCGCGTCAGCTTCGTATTTTTAGATCCGGGCCTGTAAGTAATATGAAAATTGAATCTGGAAAAGAACAGGGCCCATCTTGCCTGCCGTGGGCGTAGAACGCTTGGCAGTCCTCAGATATTCCAGATTCTTGTGGTCTGTGAAAATCAATATAGGGTGTGAGGCACCTTCCAGCAGGTATCTCCCATTCTTCTAGCGCTGCTTTGATAGCCAGCAGCTCTCGATCCCCCCGATATCGTAATTCTTCTCTGCTGGGGTGAGTTTCCTCGAGAAGAATGCTACGGGATGGAGTAACTCTTTGGTGCCTTTTTCCGCTGAGACAGGATGGATCCTACCGCATTCTCCGATGCATCTACCTCCAAGATGTAGGGCAGGGCCGCGTCCGGGTGGCCCAGGATGGGTGCCGAGGTAAATAGCTTTTTTCAGAGCTTCGAAAGCTCTTTGAGCCTCTGGTGTCCATTTGAACCGGGTTCCAAGTTTGGTTAGTTGGGTAATGGGGGAGACCAGACCCGAGAAGTTTTTGATGAACTTCCGATAAAAAAGTTTGCGAACCCTATAAACCGTTGGACACCTTTTTTGTCCGTGGGTTCAGGCCAATCTAAAATTGCAGAGACCTTCTGGGGGTCCATCGCGACCCCCGCAGTGGAGATAATCAGGCCTAGAAACGTGATGCTAGATTGCTCAAAGCAACATTTTTTTTTTTTTTTTTTCTCTGCCTTAGCATATAACCCATGCTGCCGCAATCGCCCCAAAACTTTTGCCACATGTATCCTATGATCCTCTAGAGAGGGTGAAAAAATTAGTATGTCGTCCAAGTAGACGATAACGAAGACATCCAAAAAATCCCTGAAGATGTCGTTCACAAAGTGTTGGGAAGGTGGCTGGTGCATTGCACAGCCCAAATGGCATGACCAAGTATTCAAAGTGGCCCAAACCGGGTACGGAAAGCAGTTTTCCACTCGTCCCCTCTCTTATGCGTACCAGGTTATAGGCCCCCCTTAAATCAAGCTTTGTGAAAAATAACCGCAGCCTTTAGGCTCTGAAACAGTTCTGGGTACCAATGGCAATGGGTAACGATTTTTGATCGTGACCCTGTTCAGCTCCCGGTAGTCGATACAAGGTCTCAGGGTTTTGTCTTTTTTCTCCACGAAGAAGATTCCCGCTCCTGCTGGAGAAGTGGAGGGGCGGGATGAATCCCTTCTGGAGGCTGTCCTCGATATATTCCTTCAGGGGGCCCCCAATTCAAGCTCAGATAGGGGGAAAATACGCCCAAAAGGGATTTCAGAGCCTGGTAACAGGTCGATTGGACAGTCATACGGACGGTGGGGGGGCAGAGTATCGGCTCCCCGCTTACTGAACACATCCAGGAACCCATGATAGGCTGTGGGATAATAACCTGTTTCAAGTCGGAGTCTCCTTCGGAGCAAAGGAGAAACTCGGGGCCCTGCGGGGCCCGAAGTGCGACAATGTTCCCGACAGTAAGGGGAAGGGAACGAGATTGACCCCGGTCTCCCAGTCAATCTGGGGGTTATGGGCCCGTAACCATGGGAGCCCCAGAATGACTCTGGGAAAAGAGGTGATGCAATAGCGTCCAGGCGGAGGAACTCCTGGTGCTGGTTGGCAATGATAGTGGCAATGGGGGGAGTTTCCTGATTAACTACCCCCGATTTTATCTGGGAACCATCAGCCAAAAAGATGTTGAAGCCCTTCTGTCTGTGTTGGAGAGGGATACCCTGTTGGTGAGCAAACTCTAGATCCAGGAAACAGCTGCATGCCCCCGAATCAACTATGGCTGTCACCTCCACGATCTTTCCTGGAAGCTGAAAGGAGAGGGGCACTACTAAGTATTGCGAAGGACAGGTATTGCTAATAGACAAGGAAGAAAAACGGGTGCACTTACTCATTTTCTGAGGGCAGGATCGCACCATATGACCAGCTTTCACCGCAGTAAAGGCAGAGGTTCTGGGGCTCGTCTGCGCTGGCGTTCCTCGGGTGATAATTTAGGCGTGCCAGACCTAGCTGCATAGGTTCCGGAACATCTCCTGGTGGTGGGTTCATGATGCTTTGTCGGGTTGGTGGGCTGGGGCCTAGGACTATGGACCCCAGGTATTTCCGCGACCCTGGCCGGACCTCTCAAGCCTGCGTTCCCGCAGTCTTCGGTCAATCTTAATTGTCAGGGCAATAAGGTCTTCTAGAGACTCGGGAACCTCCACCCGGGCCAGCTCATCTTTCAAGGGATCGGAGAGCCCCATACGGAACTGGTGCAATAGAGCGAACTCATTCCAGCGTGTGTCCCCCATCCACCGCCTGAAATCAGAGGCGTATTCCTCTGCCGCCCGCCGGCCCTGTCGGAGCGCATATAAGGTCGCTTCGGCAGAGGCTGCCCGCTGTGGGTCATCATACAAGATGGCCATTGCTTCAAAGAAACTATTGACCGATCCCAGGTGAGGATTATTGTTTCCCCTTAGCCGGTGGGCCCAATCCTGGGTTTCACCCTGTAGTAGTGAAATAATGAATCCTACCTTCACGTTTTCGGTCAGGAAGGTACGGGGTTGTAGCTCAAAGAACAAGAGACAGGAATCACGGAATGACCGGAAGCGTTGTGCGGTCCCCGTGAAAACGCTCCGGTAGGGGTACTCGGGGTTCTGCCATAGGGGAGCGGGGCGGAAGCCCTGAGACTGGCTCCTGAGCTACCAGGGCCGGGGGTGCAGAAACCGGGGCCTGTGGGGCAGGGTCAGAAATAGAGCCAGTCTGGATGCGGTTCT